GTGGCAAGCATGGACGGCCTCAAGAGGGAATTAGATAAGCATCTGGAGCAGAGGTCCATCAGTGGCTATTAGCCACAAGGTATAGACAGGAACTCTGGGGCAAGTGATGCTCTGTCTTCTTGGTGCTTGGGGGGGGCAACAGTGGGAGGGCTCCTGGTGTCCTGGCCCCACTGGTGGATCTCCTGATGGCCCCTGGTATTTCTGGCCACTGTGTGACACAGAGTGTTGGACTGGATGGGCCTTTGGCCTGATCCAACATTGGCGTCTTTTACGTTCTTATGTTCTTATATGGAGCATACACCCACCTTTTGCTTGTTATTCTGTTTACCTTGTTTGTTGTCAAAACCCAGGGCCCTTTTTTGTAGCAAGAACTCCTTTGCATGTTAGGCCACACACCCCTAATGTAGCCAGTCCAAATGAGTTCCTGCAGTTGGGTGTGGCCTATTATGCTAATGAGTTCCTGCTGGGCGTGGCCAACTCGGGAGCCAGCCGGAACTCCGTTCCTGTGCGTTCCTGCCCAAAAACAGCCGACCTCCTGATGGCACCTGGTATTTCTGGCCACTGTGTGACACAGAGTGTTGGACTGGATGGGCCTTTGGCCTGATCCAACATTGGCGTCTCTTATGTTCTTATGTTCACAACAGACACCCTGTGAGGTGGGTGGGGCTGAGAGAACTCTGACACAAACTGCTCTTTTTCAAGGACAGCTGTGCCAGAGTTTGTGACTGACCCAAGGTCACATCAGCAGGTGCAAGTGGAGGAGTGGGGAATCAAACCCGGCTCTCCCAGATTAGAGTCCGCACACTTAACCACTTCATGAGTTATAACCACTTCATGCCTGCGACCAGGCTACGAGTGACTTGGTTTGGAGTCGCCCACAGAATGGCCCCGCGCAGAACCAGCCTCTGCACAGACAGCCCAAAGGCTCCGTGTTTCAGGCTACAGTCTGCAGTGCAAGCAGCCGGCGGAATAATTGGGGCCTCGGGGAATCACCGCCGCCTCCACGGCTCATGCAGCAGCCACAAGAAAACAAACGGCCCAGGTTCTGGCAGCTGTCCCAGAGATGCCCGGAAGACCCGGCGAAATTCAAACAAGGCCGGCAGTGCCGGAAAGCGAGACCCGCAGCCGAACGCCCGGTTCGCCTCTTCTAGCTGATCCTGCAAGAACAGAGAAATGCCTGTTAAAGAGGCCAGAGCTGGACCGTGATTATGGGGTTGCAAGTCTCCCGGGGGAAGCTGGAGAGCTCCCAGAATTACGACTGATCTCTAGACTACATAGATCGCTTTTTATTTATTTAAAACATACATTCCACTTCTCCTGCAGAAAAATGGCTGCTTTGGAAGAAGAAGAAGAGGAGGAGGAGATTGGATTTATACCCCACCCTTCATTACCCGAAGGAGTCTCAGAGCGGCTTACAAACTCCTTTCCC